GTTATTTTTGTTAAATTATTGGGCTGTTATTTGGTTGTTATATTGTTAATAATAAAAAATACGCTTAAAAATGAACTGATTTTTATGGCTTTGTACTGATTTTTGATCCCAGCTGTACTGATTATGTCACTATAATATCTGGCCACCCTAGTCAAAATGTAGTAACATTGGTCAAACTGTGTCGTCGGAACGTATACAACGTTGAGAGATATTTTTTAACATAGATAAATAAATACCTAATGTAGTTATAAAATGCCTTTAAAAAAAATACCAAATCATTTCTAAATTCTTTGTAACGATTATTTGAATGAATCCCTCTATGTTATCTTTGTAAACTTTAAATACGAATTTCAGCGCAAAATACTTAATTTACAAGCCATATTTTTATGTTATAAAATATATGCTATACGCCTTCGTTTTCATTAAAAATTTCATTAGAAATAAGTATGTACATATATAAAATTGTGACTGATGGGACAGGTCCTTGTGACTGGTGTAAAGTAATTATGTATAAAGTAAAAGTTTTCATAGACAAAAACTACAGCTTTTTTTATGTTTTGATTATTTTGCGACAGATTAATAAATGTAGTAATTTAGCAAGAACCCACTACTGAAATAGAGATAATTATGGGATTTTAAAATGTATGCCGTTTTTTCTCTTTTGAATACAATGATCCATAAACGAGTAGATCCTAAAAAAAATAAAACAATTGGCACTTCTCCACCTTAATAGATGCTTGGCCCAGTTTCTCCTCCAATTTTCGTAATTAATTTTCATATTGCAACCCAAATGGATAGGGCTGCAGTTTCATGCCGCCGACAGATATTTTTTTAAGAGTAGCTTGACAGATGTACACTTGTATTTATGTAGGTTTGCCATTATCCAACAAAGAATTACCGCTTTGATATTGATCGGACCAGAAACCGAATGTGGGCACTTCTAAAAAATTCTCAACACTGTTAAAATAATGAAATAAATGAAAAATTTAGACTCAATTGATAACTACATAAGTATGTATGTATGTATTGTTAAGTCTTCAAAACGGGCTAGTAATCCAATATACACCATATTTTATATCGAGTCTCACCTATAAATATGTATTGCTCAGTAAATATGTATTTTGGTTTGAGAATAACTTGTGAATTTGTTACGAACTTAGATATTAAAAGTTGTTACCCATTTTAAACGCAACCTAAGAGATGAAGCCTTTTCAAAAAATATGGGACTTTTTCTGTATCAAAAAGTTTTGGTTTTCTCTTCTTAAAAAATAGCTGACTCACTTTTTCATTACGCTTAAGATGGCACAACGCCGAAACCAATTTGTCGCAAAACTTATTTAAAGGTGATTCTTAGTTTTGTATATAATTTGTTATAAGAAAATGCAAAAGTACATGGTTCAACAAACAGAAAAGTTACTAATCACAACCTCAAGTTAGTTGCTAGTATCCTATTAAAAAAAATTTTATTTATTTCGAATTGTAATAAAGAGTTAACCATTTATTGGTTTCGAAAAATCAGGTTTGTTATTTGACGGGTGTCGAACAAGCACATTTTCTTCATAGAATTGAGAATAACGCGTTGAAATGATGAAAACCTACTTTGTAAAAATATGACTACTTTTCGTGCCACATAAGGCACTCCGTACATTAAGTTCCTAATTATTAACATTATGCAGAGATTTACATATGCAGAGATTATCCATTTTCCAGCTTGATTCTCTAATCAGTCAGTCTGTAATTATAAAATAAGCTCAGATTAAACCGATAACCTTTTGGTGTCCATCCTAGTTTTGTCAATTATTTTTGCGAACAAGAGGAGAAGTGTCAAATGTGAAAGTAAAAAAATTGACGCCAGAAAAGAAAAGAGGTATGTTTGTAAAGGTATTTTTAATAAAATATATTGCTAGTTAGCAGAAAAAAAGTGATCACAGTGGCACAGAGAAGGAATTGAAATTTTTCGTGAGTTGTGCCAAACAACCAATTTGACAGTTACTAATCCAATAGTTAACTGTGTAAAGGAAGTGATTAACGAACGAGCTTTGATGCATGTTCTTTTTTGTTAACTTATGAAAACTAGATAATAATATAAATTCTCTACAAGATAACTTCGTCACTAAATTATGAATTAAAAAGATGCTTTGTTTATTTTCGTTCCGCAAATGACGAATTAGAGAGGGAAAGGAGGAAGACAAGTGGCGGAATTGAGATTTTCTTCAAATACGCGAAGTGATTTATCTATATATTAACCCTTTCGGAGGCTAATTATTTAAGCGTAAAGTAGCATTTCCAATGTTTGTCTGAGTTCATAGTAGGCTTCTTGATCTGTTCTTCTCTTTGCATAACATCTAGGGGTGCAGTTGTAGTCGTACTCGATGTTCGAAAACATTAGTGGTATTCACCAAATTGAGCAATTGGCTTGGCACTCTGGCAAAAGAGCAGATGAGCTCAAGCAATGATAACAGTCGTTGCTTGAGCTGATCTGCTCTTTTGCCAGACTGCCAGGCCACTTGCTCACTTTGGTGAATACCACTATTGCATTTACGTCATCAAGATCATAAAACTTCATTACAAGTACACAGAATGACATTTAAAAAAGCACTCTCGACTACAAGCTGACATTGAAAACTCACCCGTATTGATTGTAAGTGTATAATTACTATATGTACACATATAGTTTATGCATCGTACATTTTAAACAAACAATTTATGTTAAAACTTTTAGTGTTAGCTTGAAAGTGTGTTATTAAGTATATTAAATACAATAAAGAATATTAATAAAGAAAATTAAAAAACATTGCACAAAACTTGATATATGTACGGGTATATGTATGTATGTACATTGAATACGGTGTTTTACATAATTGTTTATGTTTTTGAATTGTTCGTTTTATTGTTTACTAATTACAAGTTGATTTCTATATGATAAAACATATGCATATACATAAATACTCTTAAACTTAAAAATAAAATGGTTTTGTGACAATTTTTAATTATTACATTTTCAACGGTTATGCATAAATACATACATTGAAATTGAAAGAGTGTAGATATAAAAGTATCTAGATAAATACAAAAGTGTTTAAATAGAAGTAGAAGTGTGAGGTATAGAAAGAATAAAAAGAAACGAATATTTAACTACATAAATACGAAAATATATCATTGCTTTAGTTAATTTATTCGCTCGAAATTGTTTGTTTTATTTTTTTTTTTTGATTTGGGCGAATGGGCGAATAGCAGCCAGAAAAGTTGCATATTTACATATTTATGATTATAATTAAATATGTTTGTACACGCGATATACGCAGGTATGTATGTACGTTTCGAAATTAGATTTTTGTTTGAGATAAGTTTTTATGTGATATTTGCTTTTTTAAGCAGTATGTTTTTGTTTTTTATTTTGCAAAATGCAGATGAGAATGTGGCAAAAAGCAGCAGTATAGCAAGCAAATTATTTTTAATTCAAGCTAAACTTTTAATGGCAGCATACATATGTATGTATGTATGTATGTACATTAGACCACGCCAAACAAAAAAAAATCTTGCAATGCGACCGAACACCGACCCAAATTGTAGTATTTGGTATAGTAATCACCCCTTTCTACGATAATTCTAAGAGGTCGCGCGTCCATACGATGTAAGAAAATGAGGCAGGTTCTGCAATTCACTTCCGAGTGAATTTCAGTCCCATTCCATTTGAATTCAAAGTGAATATGTTATTTTCTTTTAAGGTCAATATAATTTTCTAGGATCAATCAAAACGTTCGAAACTGTAATACATTGATTTCACGCCATTTAAGTGTTATGCGTTCGAAACTGTAATACATTGATTTCACGCCATTTAAGTGTTATGCGGGCTCAGACTCTCTAAACTCCAATTTTTATTTTTTTGTTTGTAATAGGAATAGCTAACCCTTTCGCTTGAAGAAGGCCTTATTTTAACATGGGCATGTCATTGGCGGTAAGCCCTTACCCGCAGCATTACCTTCAAATGAAGGGAGAACGCATGGATAAACAGAATCCAGAGAAGCGAACAAAGAATGCCTTACAGAGAAACTAATGTAGAATGCCTAGTTAAGTACATATTTATTTATATTAAATTGAAATCAGAAAATGTCTTAAAAGATTAAAATTAATTAAAATTTTTATAAATCTGTTTTTATACATACATATGTATGTATTTAGGTATTTAGATTTTACTTAAAAATCGGTATGTACATACATGCATATTTAATTAAGCTTAAAATTGGACTTCCTCACTCTTGTACTTCACTTCATTGACTGACTTCAACTTCGCAGCAAATTGAACAAAGCAAAACATGATTTTTATGCGAGACAAATTTCCACAGAAAGTAACAGTAGAAAAAGAATTTTTGGATATTCATTCTATTTTTCAGCTGACTACGGTGCAGCATTCTACTTTGCATTCTCCGAAATGAAGCAAAGAAGCGAAACAAATAAAATATTGTAGGACATTCTACTTTGCATTCCCTGAAATGAAGCAAAGACGCGAAATAAATAAAATATTGTAGGACATTCTACTTTGCATTACCGGCAATGCCTAAAAGAAGCGAAAAAAAATCGAAGGCATTATAACGCTATGCCTTCTAGAACACGTTACCTCTAAAAGCGATTACCGATTTTTTTTCTGGGTACCTACTATATTTGACCCAAACTAGGAAAGAGATTAAAAAGGGGATAGTTTGGGAATTTAAAGAATCTGAGCCCCCATAATACTTAAATGTCATGTAATCAATGTATTCTTATAGTTTCGAGCGTTTTGATTCATCCTAGAAAATTATATTGGCCTCAAAAGAAAATTCCTAATTTTCTTACGTGTTATTCCTATGGGAATTATGAGCGCTCGATGAGCGACCTCTTAGAATTTTCCTACAGTGGCGAAATTATGAAGGATCATTACTATACCAAATACTAAAATTTGAGTCGAAGTCTGGTCGCATTATATATGGTCTAATGTACATACATACATATGCTTGTCTATCTTTATGTGAAGAACATGAACACTAACGATTCCTCAGAGTAAAAAAGCCGTTGTGTGGATAAGTAACTAATTTATTTACTTATAAGTAAATAATTGAATGGCGCTTTCACATATGGTAGTGTTTGGCCGAGCTTCTCCTCCGATTTGTGGTGTGCGCCTTGATGTTGTCACACAAAAAAAAAGGGGGAGGGACCTACAGTTTACGCCGACTCCGAACGGCGATTGTATTTTTATGAGAAGAGGCCGTTGTAGTGTAGTGGTTAATAGTGCGCGCCACCCTTCCGCATAGGCTGGGTTCACGCCCAGTTCAACCCAGCATCAAAAAAAAAGGCTAAGTAATAGCGGTCGCCCCTCGGCAGGCAATGGCAAACCTCCGAGTGTATTTCTGCCATGAAAAACAGCTTACTCATAAATAACCGCTACAAAAAATTCAAAACTGGAATCGGTATCAGCTAAATTTTACGACGATAGTCAGGCATAATGAGGTTATGGTCAAAAAATAAGAAAAAAAAATATATTAATGTTCAGGTGTTACTCTTTATATCCAATGCATAGTTAGATTGAGGGTTTTCCAAATTCCCTCACACTCATTTTCCGCTTTAGTACCCCTCTATGGGGGGAGGGGAATCTTTAAAATTTCTGAGGTTTAAAGACTTCAGATAAATTACCAGTGGAAGAGAACGGGAATGGGGTTTGTTAGAATTGCTTGAGATTAAAGTAGTAGATCAGTCACTATCAAAATATTTCGAAGGAGTATTTTTTTTAAGATTTATCGCGATTTTATATGGGAGCTTATAGAGTGAATGTTCTCTCTGGTCGTCGCTGATCGAGTGTAATCTGAGGTATCTACTGTGACCTAAAACTCTCATATGTGCTTTTGGAATTTCTTTCTTCTTCTAACCTAATGACTACCAAAACATATCCCGCTAAAATAACTTTTTTTAAGTTTTAAAAATATTTAGTTTGGGCGCGTTCAAGGTTCAAGCTCTCGTGGTCGTCGATGTTCTGAGCATTTATCTCAAAAAGACTAGGGCAACATTTAGGAAAGGCGTTTGCAAGTTGCAAGTATGATCCAATTTATATTTTCCTCCTTCCTTCCATCTTAATTGTACCAAAGTTTGCTCCATCGAAAAGCTTAGACTATAATAATGTTTGTTTAAAGTTTGCATTGATAGTTTTTTGTCAAAGTGAAGTGAAATTTAGGCCCTTAAAGACTAAACTTTGTTTGAAGATACTTCTTACCCGTATACATATGAATAAATTATACTTTTGTCGTAATTTTTCATTGTAGAAGTGACATATCTTTAGAAAACAAATTATGAATGTACTGTGATCATCTCTCATGTTTGTTCAGAAGCCACCCCGTTAGTTTGTCAGCTGATTTCAGATCTGAGTTTATGTGGCACTAACAACCTTATGCATTGGGTATAAAAGGAAAACAAAAATAAATGGCTAGAAGAGAGTGACAGTGAGCTGGAAGAGAAAGCGTAAAGCAAATAGTGTGTGTGAGAGAGAAAGAGAGATTAATGCTAGGCTTCCATTAGTTTCAAATAAAAATTGTTAAGAAGCAAACGAAGTCAATGGTTTTTTTCATAGATACGTTTAATATTTATTTACAGTTATTTATTAACATATTAATACACCTCAGCATATATGTATAACGATATGTCATGGTTGTGGACAAAATAACGGTAAGACTAGAAATTTATAAACTATAATGAGTATTTAAAGCAAAAAACGCTATTGTTTAGAGATAATCATTTCTTTTCGATCCTCTTCAACAATTTTCAATCGATATGGGCAACTACTACTACTTTCTGTTATTTGATTCGACTTCCCTTTTCCAAAAATAACTCTTGAAATAAGCTAAACGAAAGCTCCAGGCTTCATCGCTATTAAGCAATATTCACCACCCTTACTCTGGGCGTTGTCGCCGTTTTAGCTGAAGACTTGGTTGTGCTTGTGCTGCTGCTGCTACTTAGGTACCCCTCATCCACTCTGTTTACTCTCGGTGAGGTTGTTCCAGTTGCAGCGATGACTGGTGGCACTGTGGTGGTGGGGCGCTTTCTGGACTTTCCCAATTTTCGCGCTCTATGTTTACGAGATTTCTTCTTTCGCACAACATGCGTCTTTGTACTAAAACTTATCACTTCTGTCACTATGCTGCCACTACTTAAGCTACTCGAATTACTACTCGCACTAACACTAGAACCTACATCAGTATTGCCACTACCACTACCAACACTGTGCACTTCGTGCTGAGACATACCCTCAACTTTGTTGTTGGCTTTACCACCTGCAACGTGTACGAGATTGGTGGGAGCCTCAATAATGGAAGCAAAGCGACTTGAGTACTCCGCATTCGAATCTACGGGTCTAGGCTCTCCCAATAGTGTTTGTGTCTTCGTTTGCGAGACTGTGTCTGTGTAGGTAGTTGATTTATTTTCGGCTGAACTGGTGCGATCTACTTTACTGAGTATGACTTTGTCAAGATTAGCTATTGTAATAACTAAGGGGGGAGGACTCATTGGATTCAGGGCGTAACAGGGGTAGAGGGACAACGGGTCTTACGTATGTATTTAACTTAACCGCATTATCTGCATTAGTAGGACCATCATCGGTTGTTGCGGTCTTAACTGTGGTCGTTTCCAAGAAATTGTTGTTAACATCATCTGCGGCACCATTTACGGAAAGTGTTGCCTCAATGGTGGTTGAGTTTGATATGAGCGGTATGTTTGTTGTGCTCTCCTCAACAAAGCTATTGCCTACAATCGTTGTGGACTCTAAATTTGGGAATGCTTCGTTAGGTATGTTATTTACAATATCACTATTTAGGTTAAGGGGCAAAGCACTCTCAGTGGTGGTCATCGTTAACAAGGTCGGTAAAGACGTACTTGTACCTGTATTTGGAATTGTGATTTTTATGTTTTGGGTTTCGTTCTCACTGTCGTTCACGTTAGCGGTATTGGTACTGGTACTGGTTGAATTTTTGTCATCTGATCCGAATATGTAGTACACACTATTTACAGAATTTAATTCTTTACCTTGCCGTTCGCCATCGAATAGGGCTTCCAAGGATATTGTCGAACTCTCAACTGCGCTTCTTATCACCTCGGGTACCAGTGCTTTACCATTCCGCTGTTCCAATGTAGTTCGTGCTTGTGCACTCTCCGTAGAGTACGCATACTGGGGCACATAGTAAGGTACGCCCTCGGGCAACGAATTTCTTACGGGCATTGAGACCGTTGGCTCAGTTGGAGTGTAATCGGTAACTGTGCTGTGGCCGTCGATGGAAATGTCACTGCCATCGACTAGATGGACATACTTCACAACGCTGATTTCGCCCAGCTGTTCTACATGGGGCAATTCCTCGACCCGTATATTTGACGTGCCGATCGGCTGGAGGAACTCATGATTCGCCTTTGATTTGCGCCGTAGCTTGTCTTCTTTTGAGGTAATCTCGACAATACGATTGATCTCTACCACCTTGTGTTTCGGACGTGCTCTCTCGGGGACAAGGCGGCCAATGAAGTTGGCATTCGCTGTTGGTGGCCGATGTGTTGGCTCGTCGTGGCCTGTCTGCGTGAAAACGTGCATAAGAGTCGTGGTAGGTGTTTGTTGCGTCGTGTACCCAGTACGTTCTGCGCCTGGCTCATTGTCCTGTGAAGAGATTTCATTAGCATTGATATAATAATCGGTGTTCGTGTCGCCGGAGGCGGGTGTGCGTGGCGTTGTGGTTATGTAACCTTCGTTACCGCCAACAACTGAGGTGTATTCATCATCGTTTTCAGTTTCTGTGTTTTGTTTGGTAAGATCTTGTGTATCTTGTTCTTGATCTGTTGGTGTTTGTTTACTGCCTGTTATGGCGATTTTCGGTTTAAGGGTAGTGTGTTTTTTGCTGTTGATATCAAATATCTTTTTGTTGCGTGCATTTAGTGCTTCAATATTTAGATCTTCAATAAGTGAGTTATCGCTATTAGTTTCCGGTGTTTCTGTGGAGGTGGCTGTGTATTTTCGCTCATAAGAACGTGTGTTGGTTGGAATAAATGGTGCCGGTTTGGTTGGGATTACCGGAGTGGTACGTTCAAAAGTGGTGGCAATTGGTTTAACTGGCAGACTTGGCGGTGCCACACCTTGCGGTCGGTTCACGATGCGCGGTCTATTTGTAGTGCGCGCATTACCTGGCGTAGATGAACCAAAACGATTACCTGAGGTGCTTGAGGCAAAGCGATTAGGTTGCTGGCGTCCTCTTCCGTTAAAAGATACTTTACCTGTAGATGATGATGGTGTAGATGAAGAAGGTAGGACGGGTCTTGCACCTGGTGGAACACGATTGTCCTTGGGCCGGTATGTGGGCGCATTGAACTTAGGTGTTGTGTCTTTTGGTGCATCGTTATCCACATAGGTATCTTCTCCATCTTCTCCGTCCTCGCCTTCTTCTTCTTCTTCTTCCTCCTTATCCCCTTCACCATCTTCGTCTTCTTCATTTTCTTCTTCAACTTCTTTTTCATTGTCCCTAACCGGTTGCAACAATGTGGTTGATGTTCTATTGAATAAACTTGACGGGCGTGTTACTGGTCTTAGAGTAATAACTGAGATAGGTGAGAGGGGATTTTGGGATTTATTTTGGTCGGTTTTCGGAGTTGACTCTTCTTCCTCTTCATCTTCGTCCTCGTACTCTTCATATTCGTCATCCTCTCCTAAAGTTTCAGTATCTGGAATAGGTACCCGCTTGCCGCTCTCAAGACGGAAACGCTTCGTTCCTGGAAGCAGTTGACTTCGTGGATCTATGCGGACAAAACCCTCGCCGTTGTTGCGATTAACGGCATTGAAGGGATGGAAGCGCCCGAACTTGCGCCGCACAAACTTTCTTGTTGGTTTCGGTGAAGTCGGAACTATAGTTGAAATGGTAATACCGGAAACCTTCGCTGGGACGTATGGGCGTTTAGCGATTAATTTTCTGCGGAACGTTGGGCGAGTAAAAGGAGCTTTGGTCGTTGTTACTTCTACATTTTCTAGTATTTCTCTGTGGCTTTCACTTTCGTTTTGTGTAGTTTTTGTATGTGAAATCAGACTGAATGGACGTCGGAATGCTATACTCTTCGTTTGAGTATCATGAACGGCTTTTCCGATCTCATTTTGTTGCAGCTCATTGCTGGTTATAGCGGTTGCCGTATTGTCATCGGGTAATAGCTTTTTCAAACGTGTCGATGCAACATCGGGTCGTGGTTTTTCTTGAACTGTAGCGTCATTAGAATTCGTTGGAGTAATTTGTGCAGCATTGTTACGTGTAAAGGTAAGCTTATTCAACCGACTACGTTGAACATCCGTGTCTTGTTCTTCTGAGGAGGCGGATGATGTTGCACTCACCTCCTCATTATCCTCATCTTTCACATCTACCTCGGCATTTACGTTTTCATCTTCACTATCGTTTTCATTAACAGCTTGTGCATCTTCAATGGCACCCTTCGTCGTGCTACTAAAGCGCGTCAATACAACTGTAATATTGCTAGAGCTGCTGTCTTTATCTGTTAAGAGTGTAGAAATAACTGAAGGCGTATTTGTTGTTACACTCACGTTATCTTCTTCAGTTTCTGTTTCATTGTGCGTTTCAGAAACGTCATCATCCACTTTCGGCAGTTCTCTATTGCTATTAGCTATAAGGCGGTTACCGAAACGAGCTCGACTGCCTCTGCCAAATAAAATAGTTCTAGAAGCATTGAAATTACTGTCGTTCGACGTGACATTTGAATTAAGACTTTCTAAGCTAAAGTTTTTCGATGAAGTGGTCGTACTTCCCACATTCTCAGAAACAATCGTATGTTCTCGGAAACTATTCCCACGTCTAGAACCGTAACGCGTGGCATTAACACGCGATTGATCTGTAAATGGCACTTCCGGAGTGCCGTCAACAGTGCGATTAACTGGCCGAATTAATTTGCGTATGACTTTACGGAACCGTTTAGTGGGTACCACATCTGCACTTACTGGACTTTCGCTTTGCGATTCATTTGCATTTGAGTCTTGGGTATTCAGAGGTTCTAATCTTGTCCGATTTAATTTCTGTCTGCTCGAGTTGAGCGTATCTAAACCATGGCTAACAGTGTTGGTAGTATTAGTAACACTAAAAACTGTGGAATTACTACTATCACTATTTAAAGTATTAACTAAAGTAGCATTACTAATTGTATTTGTGCCGCCGATGGGACGACGGTACTTTAAAACCCGTATCCGTCTGAGTGTGGGAGTTGGACTAGAGCTCAGAGTGCTTTCGGTGATTGTGGTTGTGCTGTATTCATCATCAATGTCATCATCCCCTTCATCTACTAACGCATTTACCTGATTTGTTGTTGTAGTTGCTGTTCTATTCCTGCTCGACTGGTACAATTGCTTCGATGAAAATAGGTTTGATGGTGCTTTCGTGGCAGTAGGAGGAGCAGCAGTAGTCGTTGTTGTGGTACTTGTTAATCTTGAGCGGTTGTATTGATATTTCTGAAAACGTCGGTTAGAATTAACTTCATTACCCTTATCATTATAGCTGCGATCATCAGCTTCATCATTATAATCAAGTTTATCAATCAGATTATCAGCCTCACGTTCCGCTTCTTTATCTACATTACTACTAACATCATCGGTTATTTGAGTGTTGTTAGATTTAGATTTACTTAAATAATTTGCTAAGGTGCCGAAACGATTAGTATTACTACGACTTGCGGACAAACTAGGTACTCTATTTTTCACATAAGGCCTGGCAACTCTCTTGCTATTGCCCTCTTCATCAATGTCAATTTCCTGCTTGTTGTCTAGTTCGTCATCGTTCAAAATGATTTTCGTTCTTCTATTATTAATTGTTTCTATAGTCTTTGCCCTGACAGTAAAAAGTGATTGCGGTCTCGGGTTCACTACTCCCTCGCCATTTTTATTTCGTGTCTCACTTTGTTTTACACTATTTCGTAAGTTTTTTAGACTACTCTGCAGTTCATTTGAAGGTCTAGGTACTTGTAGTCGCCTTAGTGACTGTGGTCGGTCATTAGTTTCTACAGAACTTTCATCGTCTTCGTCCTCACTATCCTCATATTTATCATACGTTTCTGTAATTTCTGTGAAGGGTCGAGTAAATGGACTTCGTGTACCGAGTTGTTGCCTCGTAAAGGTCTGAGGCTTTTGGAATGTTGACCTATCCGAAGTTATCAGCACATCGTATTCCTCGCTGTATTCCTCTTCGCCCAAATCTCTCTCTTCGTGCTTTTGGTATATACTTCTATTTATTGCTGGTGTTAAGGGCCGCTTTGTTGTAGTTGGCCGTTCTTTTTGGCTAAAAATACTAAAAGTGCGTTTTGTTGTCAACGTTTCCGTAGGTGCTAAAGTTGTTGTCCTTGAACGATCGAATGTTTTAAACGCGCGGCGAATCGTTGAATCTGCCGGCGTTTCAGTGGTTTCTTTTTCGCTTGGCACCGCACTTGCCTCGGTTGTAATACGAAAGCGGATCGAGCGATTGAAATTGCGAACTGTGGTTGTTGAATCCTGCGTAACTGCATCGCTGCTTAACTTGACATCTGCAGTTTTCGAAGTCGTGAAGTTTCTTTGGGCACGGGTTGTGTCTCCAGTGTCATTTTCTATCACCTCGGAATTTGCCGCTTCTTGCGACAAAAGCGCCCTGTGTCTATTCGTTTGCCCAGAAGTAAGTTTGGTGGCAGAAGTGAAACCTTCCATCATCGTATCTGAAGTGTCTTCATCACTTTCTAACGACTCATTTGGAATTATAGTTGTTGTACTCAATTGCGTTCTAGTAAAAGTCGCATAAACACGACGCGTTGTAGGTAGAATTACACTCTCTGTGGCATCGGTAGTTAGATCTGTTTCCAGCGTTGTACTCGTTGCATTCAAACGTCTTCGGATTACAGTCGGTTTAAGTGTAAATTCACGAACTGCGGTTTCACCAGCTGTAGTACTTAGTGTTTCACCTGAATAGGTGCTGCTTTGTATTCGTTTGTGAATAGTATTACCACTCTCTTCTATTTCAGTTTCCTTGGTTTTTGCGTTTGGAGTGGTTGGGGTGTAAATACGCTTTGGTATTATGGCAGGCCTGCGCGATGTAGCAGTTAGGATAACGCTTTCTGCATTTTGTTCTTTTATATCTCCACTCATCGTAGTATCTTCAATATCAGCATCTAAGGTTGAGCTATTACTGTGCTTGGCTATTTGTTCAGCGATCTCAATCTCGCTTTCTTTGAGAATACCAGAGTGATATTCAGCCATTTCTGTTACATCGCCTTGACTCGATTCAGCACTTTCCACTATTTCGGTGGTTGTGCGCAAACGATTCAAAGCCAAATAAGTACGCTTTGTTGTATACTCTCCGCTCAGTTCATATTTTTCTTCTCCTTTCTCTGCTTCGTCAATACTAGATTTGATAAAACTTTCAGTGGAAACTTTGTTTTTAAATCTATTTGTGGTTGCATATGCTAGTGTGGGGACATTCTCTGGTGAGCTTTCGGTAGTAGAAATACCATTCAGTAATTCGAGCTCGTCCTTGTTACTTTCGGTTGATGTTGTCGGCACTTTACGAATAAGCGACACATAGGGGCGACGAGTTGCTTGATTATACTCCACAGTTTTTTCCGTTGTGCTCCGCAGTCTGTCTACTGCAAGTATGGGTCGGCGTTCGGTGCTTAGATTAATACTAGTGCTATCCTCATCTGAACTCTCTGTTGAATTTTCATAATCTGTTCTCGGCGTAGTGGATTTGGGAGGTAGTCTATTTATTGCAGAATAAGTCCGTCTTATTGTTGCTGTTGTAATCGTATTTTCTGTTGGGTTTACCTCGCTGCTTTCTTGTTCTTTTGCGTATCTCTCTGTTGTAGCTTTAAATCTGTTCAAGGTAATCAAAGGCCTGCGTGTTGTCTTTACGGTATTGTCTTTCTCCCATTCTATTTCACTGTACTCGCTTTTATCTGGTGTTTTAGCAGTCGATGTTCTATATCCTAATAAGTTTAGAGAATTTAAAGAGCGTCTAGTTGTACTCTCCGAGAGATCATTTGTAATGGTATCCGCTGAATTTCTTGTTGAACTCACTCTAGCAAAGGGACGACTGGATATAGTTTGGTCATCGTTTGTGGAGTCTTGCTTCAATTGATCATCAGCTGGGCTTTTCGTTGAAAATCGACGAGTTGGTTTAGTAAATCTATTGAAAATTCGTCGATTTGTTGCACTAACAACATTTAGGTTAGTGGTTTTCTTCTCATTTTCGACATCAACATTTTGCATCACTTCTACTTTTTCTGACACAGACTGTGTCCTATTTGATTGTTGCTCTTCAGTCTCATTTATGGTTTTACTAGTATCGTTTTCAATAGTAGATTTGGTTCGCAATTGATATAGCGCGCTGATAACTCTTTTTTTTGGAGGTTTCTGTTGTAGTACGTATGTGGTTAATTCTTGTATAATTGCGCAAGGCGCGTGAGTCTTCGTTTCGATCATCTGAATCTTGTGGAAGTATTGTTATTTTAATAGTCGGTGTTTCTTGTTGTAATATTGTTTCAGTAGTGGGGTTGGCTTGGGCAGAATCTAAGTCGGGGTTAAGGGCCGAAAGTTTTGTAATTTTGGAGTTTTGTTCTCTAAAGGTTTTACCAACACGATGTGATGATTCGTTGCGCTTTTCATCAATTTCGTCCTTGGCTTGCTTGTTGGTCGATGGAACAATACCTGCAGCAAATATTTGTTCCAATTCGGATTTTGCGTTTTGGTCATCAATTAATTCTTCTCCAGATGTTGTAAATTTTGAACCGATTGATTTTGCCCCCAGGTGCCCATCTACTTTGACCCGGGGGTTTTCAATAAAAAAATGCTCATCATTTGTGTTGCTCTCATCAGAGGCAACAGATGTATTGCTGTCATTACTTATATTAAAAACTTCGTGTATTTGTTTCTTTATATCGACAGAGCTGGTTTGTGTCGAAAGAGGTGGCTGTGGTTTGCCTATATAGATCACTGGCGAATCTTTGTAGTACTGGTAATATTTCCTTCTGTGATAAATTGGCAATGAGATGGAAGAATCTTCACCGTTGTCGCTGAGCTCATTATTCAATTTCGAAACCGACTCCTCAAGTGAAGCACCCGTTTCTGATTCTAAATTTGTTGCGAGATTACCATCGTCATTATGTGCAGTTGCATTTGTAAGCGTTGTCTTTGTTAAGGTTGTAGTACCACTCCTGAAACTATTACCTTCGCCATTTTCATTTAGTGTACTCATAGCGCTGGAGATATGTTTCTTGATAATATCAAAAGAATCCTCCGCAGATTTGGAATTGTGGGACGAAGTTATTTCAGAAGATCTCGCTGTGGTTATCATTGTCACAGCATCAGCAGTAGTGGTTGAAGGCATAGTTTTAGTAGTCTGCGACGTAGTTGCTTCAAGTGGAGTCAGTGTGGTTGTCGCAATTGCGTCTTCATCACTGTTAGTTATGTGAGAATTCGGTGTACTAATTTCAACGGATTGCTTCGAGGCAGTTTCAGGGTCAAGCTTATCGTCTTTCACCTTTTCTTCTTCCGTTGTGTTCACCGGCCTTTGTAAATTTATTACTCTTTGGCGTAACTCTGGCTTTATTGTTGCTCCACTGTCTTTCGTAATTGCTGTTGCAGTAGTGCCAGTTGGTTCCTGGGTTGTTGCCACCGGCCTTCTGAATGCAAAACCTTTTCGCGTTGTCTGTATCACTTGCTCAGTGGTTGTCTTTACGGATTCGGTGGTCTCGGGAACCTCAGTGGTTGTTTTTGTTGTTTCCCTAAAACGTGGCCTCTTTAAAGAAACCTCTATTCTGGTTATTTGTTTTGGCGCCGTAGTTATCGCTTCCAGTTGCACTTCTTCCTCTCCTTCTATCACACTAACACTTTGCGATGTTGTTGTTGTCGGTCGCAATGGCCTTGTAGGTCGTGTCCGACGCGTAATTGGAGTAGCTTCATTCGTTGTGGTTGGTCGTGGTGGTCTGGTTCTTTCTTCATATTCATATTCCTCAACATTGTCATTTTCCATCACAGTAGGTGGTTTTCTAATTACTTTTCTTCTTGTCTTGACGATCGTCTTTTCACTGTCTTGCTTTCGTCTTGATTTCGGCGCAAAATCTAGTGAAAGAAGTGAAGATAAATCCGCATCTCGGAAGCGTACACCACCACGGTTTCGTGTTACAGGTCGTGGTGTACTGGCCGGTATCTTCTCAGTTACGACCTCATATACATACTCATATTCAGGTTCAGTTTTTTGTACCGTTTTGGTGTGCACACGTTTAAAGGTCTTCTGTTTCGCATTATCAGCTGTATTATAGGTACGCGTTCCAGTTTTTATGACACCATTTTCTTCTATTACATTGGTAGCAGAAACTCTTTCCGAACTACCAACACGGTTTGCGGCTTTGAGTCTGCCTTGATTCGAGTACTGCGCACGCGCGCCATATCTAGCACGTGTGCTATATGGTTTGAGAGAAGTTCGGTTCCTTGTTAAACTACCGTTACTTGTATCGTATGATTGATCTGAACTAATTTCTTTTGCGGGAAATTTAGAGGCTTCTGTCGAATTTCTTTCTGTATTCTCAGCATTCCAAGTTTCCGTTGCGACCTGCAATGTTGAATTAATGTCAGTTCCAACTATTTTTAAATTTTTCGAAACTGTGCTGAGACGTTTTGAATTCGATGTGGATTCCGTATTGGAGGTTGTGCTGCTTTGATTACTTTGAGCAGAAATATCTAACTTCGCATCTCTTCCTTTGTAGCTAGAAGAGCTTGCTATTAATGATTCTTTTGTTGATGAATCATTTTCGGAAATATTCTCATCGATCTTTGGGCCGTCTTTGCTTCTTCCTTTGCCATTTTCGCTTAAAGAACTTTCATCCGTTCCTATGTCAACTTTTTCTGACTCACTCGCTGTTAATATACTATCTGCTTGCTTTGCTGACTTCGAACCAGACTGATCAGATCCATTTTCGGCAGAGTTTCCTACCTCTTCAGAGGTAAAAGTAGCCGCCGCGTTTTTAGTAGTTCCTTTATGATTTAAGTCTTGCACTGTAGCAGAAGTTTTAGTTGAATTTAACCCGGAAGTGGCTATAGTCCTCTCTTTTTTGCCTAAATTAAGGCTTACTTCACCTCCATTTACTCCAATTGTCTCCTTGGCTATTTTGACAGCATTTCGACTGCTATTTATTCTTCTTCTAATTACAGTAGTTTTTCGATTTCCCGTATTCGAACGACTTCTGATGTGCTCACTTGCATTTGTTGACTTCAAGTCCTGGTCCACATTTTGAGCCTCTACCTTCACATGTGAGTCAAAGTTGATTGTTTCCTGCTGTGAGGCATTCGATTGTCGGAGCCTAAGCTCACTTGACGAATCGGCATTTTCTCTTCCTTTATTTACACCATCCACGTCTATTCCCTTTCCGAGGTTGTATTGGGTTCGATTATAAGATCGATGTTTATTTACGTCCACAGATAGTAAGGAGGACAAGTCATCCTTATCCATACTTGGACGGTAGGTACCCCGATGAGTAGTGCGTCGGTGTGGAGTTTCAGTTGTTGAGCTGTTATGGATTTCATCTTTGCTATTGCCACTGGATTGTCTACTTATATTTTCTAATGATGTTTCTTGTGAGCTGTGCAATATCTGTTCCCGCTTTACCGCTACCCGTAATTTATTTCGAGCAAATCCATGCAAAGATGTGGATGTAGCCTCAGCACTATTTTTTAGTACATACTCGTGTGTAGTCTGAGCCTTATTTTTAAATTTGGGCTCACTTGTAGGCAACTCTGCTCCACCGACACTTGCTGTCATTGCATTCGAAACTTTGTTAAGTATTTTTGTCTTGATGAAAGACGTTTTGTGAAAGGTGTGCTTTGTCACGTCATTTTCTTGTTGTGACGTATTTCTCTTTGGGGTGGCTGCCGTGGTTATGCTTTCCGTTGTCGTTTGCTCAGGAGTGGAAGTTACACCTTGGCTTCCGGTGCTGTGAGCTATTTCTGGGGCTTTAGTGGTTATATTTTCAAAAAAAACGAACGTCGTTTGTAGTTGAGTCAAAAATACTCGCTGGTAACGGAATTGTGGTTATAACTGGTTCGTTAGCTTCAGTGGTGGGTAATGCAGTTGATATACTTTTTTTCTGGAGTGTCCGTAGTAACTGGAGCTACTATTGTTGATGATGTTTCTTTATCCATAGGTGTTGTTTGAATAAACTTATCCTCTGGTGCCTCAGTCGATGTGCTACCCTGGCGAATCTCGAAACTTGGCCCGGAGGTGGTTGTATCGGGTATAAATGAGAATGAACTTTCGGTTGTGTCTGGGTAGATGGTGGTTACTGATGCCATGGTTGTTGTTTTGCCAAGCCAGCTTTTGTTTGTTTTTTTTAGTGCTATCCTCTAGCACTTCAGATGTTGTGCCCACACTTGAAGTTGTTTCATATTCAAAAGGAGCTGACTCCGTAGTTTCATTTATTTCTGGGAGAGTCGTTGTAAGTGGCCTACCTCTAACTTTGGACTTTACACCAGCACTGATTTTCTTCACATTTTCGGATGAAGTTTCATCTTTATATTGCACCAAGTTTCGGTGACTGATAGCTGAGGTGTGTGATACGGCATCATCATTAATAACAGTGGAAGCACTAGTTTTACGATGTTTAAAGTTAGATTTAGTCATCTTATCCTCCTCAAATTCAGACGGCGTTGTTACTCTGTTACTTTTGAAGTTACTGTTGTTAAAGTTTTCACTTGATTCAGAAGAGCCAGCCATAATTCTTTCCGTCGTTTCTGGATAGTCGGTTGATGTTGCTTCAGTCGTTGAGAGCTTTAGAACTTCGGCCGACAATATAGTAGTTTCCGCTATTTCCGGGAGAGTGGTGAGTTCTGGTGCAGTAGTTGTAGTTAGTCTAACTGGAATGGTAGTCATCTCTTCACTGAAGTTTGCATCTACGATTTCAGAGGATATTCCGCCATGTTTACTAGAAAAGGTTCGTTTATTCGCGATTGTGCTGGATTCGGAAGTCGATTCCAGCGGGATATCGGTTGTATCTGGGACGTCAGTAGTTTCCGGTATAACGGTTGTAGTTTGATCACGTTGAAGTTTCGAGTTCTCATCATTCGATGCAGCCTCAGTGGTCGTAATTGGTGCTGTAGTTGCAATTGTAGTGGGTCTGCTTCGACTTTTAGTTCTACTTGTTTCTGCCAAGGTAATGATTTCTGGCCTGAAGGTTGTAGTGGTTGCACCTTGAATTTTAGACTTTGCTTTAATTGTATAGTTCTGGATGTCGTCGGTTGTTATACCAGTTCTGTAACGTGTAACGTTTCGTTTACTAGAAATCTCACCGGATTCAGAGGAGGATGATAATATAGTTTCACTCAATCCTGGGAAGTCTGTAACCTCTGGTTCTGTAGTTGTAGTTGGTTTGCCGCGAACTTTGAATCTTACTTCAGTCGAGTTTTTCTCTACGTTTTCGGATGATGAGAGAGCCTTATAACGTGTAAAAACTTGTTTGTTAGACATTTTTCCCATTTCTGAGGATATTGCAGCTTTACTGGCGGCGGTAATTTCTGGTGCAGTGATTATAGTTGGTTTTCTTCGTACCTTCTGGTGCTTTTCGATGGAGCTATCTTCGGTGATGTCTGTTGTTCCTTTCCGAGAGGTTGTACTGGTGACAGTGTGTGCTGGTGAATGCGGTTTGATGGGAGTAGGTCTATTTCGAACTGTAAATTTTATTTCAGTTGAATTCTTCTTTATGACTTGCTGTTCAGTGTGCTCTGTGGAGGACAGAGTTGTTTCACTAACTTCTGGAATATTAGTAGTTAATTCCACAGAAATAGTAGTATAATCAAGATCTGTGGGGTTGTTTGGGAAATATCTTTCGGTTTTCGAATTTGTTTCAAAAACTGAGATTTCTGCGGAAATATTTTTTAAATTTGGTCCTGTTAAGCTTATTTCTGCGTCAAAAATTTCCGCCGCGATATTCTCAGCTTCCATTGCGCCCTCAAGGGTCGCAGTTTTGTTATTTAGAGCTGCAGCAGACCCATTTGTGGCAGCTACACTATTTGTCACCTTAAGCTTATTTATTTCTTGGGAGCTCGTTTGTGATTTTGACAGATTGTCACCAACCCACTCACCAGTGGAATCTTTACTCGTTTTGTCAGTGAAGCGGCTGTTTTCGCGTTGGTTTGACGTCTGTAAAGTTGAGTAATCTTGGTTAATAGCCGCTGAGTGGGTACGATTAATTGTGTGATATTTGTTTGTATCTCGCTCATTAGTGAGCGTTGCGTTATCTGCTTTCGAATTTTTTGTCCTCGATCCCTGTAACTTGTCCCGAGGTGCTTTCACGAAAAGATTGCGGTAAGTGACCACCACGTGAGATACCCTGGTACATGCTTTCAGATTTTTTTTCCGCTTGCTTTGCAACTTCTGCAATATTTCGGAAGAATGAGGAAGACTTATCTTCGCTTAAGTGTACACCTTCGTTGCCCCGCACAATGGCTTTGTAACGGATGTTTTCAGTGGATGGATCATGACCCTCTGTACGACGTGTTATTGTTTGATATTTGTGGCGATCTCCACTATACACATTACTACCCACATTGAGGCTTTCTACTTTTGTTCTAGTTATTGTTGTCTCTTCGACTGTCGTCGTTATAACTGTGCCATTTTCACTTGTATTAGTTATGTGATAAGTTGTTGTACGAATTACGCTGCCATCATCTCGTGTTTCGACAGTGGTTGTGTTTTGGATGTCGTTGGAGGATACGAATGCACTTCCGGTTGCAAAATTAGAATCTCCAGCAGCAATCGAATTTTCTTGCTCCAAGCTATCTGCATTCCTGGTGATTGTGGTATAAGTTCTTTGGATTTTCAACTCGCCGTTACCTTCATCCGTTATGGTTTCCATCATGGTTCTATTGAATTGAGGAGGCAGTTCGGAATCTGTGTCTTTGATGAGTGTAGTATTTGTAGACTGAGCGCGGTTGAAGCTGGCAATTTCAGTAATTTCTTTTGTTTCTATTTTTACACCCAAATTTTGCTCACCGTTTGTCTCCATGGCTTCTTCATCGCTAAGCATTTTCAAACCTCGGCTACGGAAATTTGTCTTCCCGTCCGCCACTTTTGAAACGCCATTTTCCTCTGACCCATTCTCTGTCGTCAAACTTTTACCGCGATACTTACTTGTCTTGAACGTCTCGTCTTTGGAATTTGTAGAAAACGTATTCGGCTGTGTAACTTTAACGTAAATTTGGCTGTCACTAGTTCTATTAGAGAGTTGTTCGGCATTGCCTTCGAATTTCGAACTCTTTACCTCACTGGATGCATTCGCTCTAATGTCACTCTGTTCTGCTGAAAGTGATTCGTTTATACTTAATCTATAATTTCTATCTACAACATGCTTTAGACTACTTGTGTTTCTACTTATACCACTAACACCGTCTACTTCATCTACTACATGCGTGTGGGTGTGCATTTTTGTTTTTGTGTGGGTGCGCGTAGTGCTGCCCTCTTCATTTGTTTCCAATCCTTTTTGTACTTGCAACACATCTGAATTGGAACTCACCTTATTTTTGGAAGCACTTGCCGCTGATAACCTCGTCTTAACTACGCTTTTTTTCATCTTCTTCCGCACTCTCAGTGGTGGACTTAATTTCGTCGGTATTTGTTGGATTGGAACTGTTCGGGCGCGTACGATGCCTGGGGAAACCGAAAGGTCTAGGACTAGATATTTGCCCCAGGAACTCGTTAGTGGGTGCTGTTTCGGTAGTAGTTATGATGGTTGAGGAATCCGTTGTGGGATCCGTCTGTTGATTTTGGATTTGATTTTTGCGAGTTAGTAACTCGTTCAATTGTTGTTGTCTTCTACCACCAGAGTATTTAACGGTATTACCTCTATTACTACTACTTAGCTTATCATTCGTACTACTACTACTACCCGCTTTCAGACTAGTTTTCTTTGTTTCACTTGAAATTTTGTAGTTTTTCTTGTTGTTTGTGCTGTTAATATGATTTTCATCATCTATGTTGTCTGAGTCAGTGTTGGTTTTGGTTGTTGTTGGTATTGTTACATTTCGTGTTCTTGTTGTGTACTTATATTGTGTCTTTGAGCGATTATTGCTTAAATTCGTTACCTCGTCGACGGTGGGGGGGTTGGTCAGTGTCAGTCGTTGTAGTGGTGGCTGTTGCTGTGGCGGTGCTTGTCAATGTTTCAGTCGTAGTGGTTGTGGCTGCTGTCGCCTCAATGCCTTCAATTTCCTTTTTTTTCAGTAGCACTTGCGGTCGTTGGATTTGACTTAGAGGCGGATTTTTCAATAAGGGGATTGACATCAAGTGAAAGGAGTGAAGGCTCTTTTGATTCTTGCTCAAAGTTTGGTGAAAGAGTGGTTATTGTGGGTACGGAATCGTTAAGATCAATATCGTTTGATGTGGTTGATGTAGTTGTGGCTGCGGAAGCAGTTGTAGTGGAAATGGTAGGATTGGATGTGGATGTGGATGTGGCGGTTGTGGTTACAATGGGCATGATATCGGGATTAGTATTTTTGATGGTTATTGATAGAGTGGGTGAGTCTTTTGCTGTTGTGGCAGTGGTAGTAATAGGTAAATTTGGTTCAGGTGTTTCGTTGTTAAACGTGTTTTCTAATAAATTGTATTTAGTTGGAGTTTCTTGGGTGGTTGGAGTATCTGTTGTTGTAGTCGTGGTACGACGACCTATACTCGCGTAGATGCGTGTTGTGCTTTGTGTTGAGGTTTGTGTGGAATCATTTGCTGTCCCATTTAATTGTACCGTTACATTTTGTTCTTCCTCTTGATCCTCATCGTCGTCGCTTGCGGATGGACTTTCCTCGCCCCGGCCGGTAAACGAATTGTGAAGTCTACTTGGAAGGCGTGCACGTTCCAGATAGTTGTACCTGTAAAAAAATCGATTGATTTAAAATAAATAGTCAAAACAAATTACAAGTATGTACAAATATCAAATAAAAGACTTCTCGTCGCAATAAGAGGTGTGTCCACAAAATGCAATATCACGCATTAGATGGTCCGAACATTTCCCAAAAGAGCAAAAAATTGAAATCCTTCAAAGTGTTTGAATGGTATTTCAACTGAAACTACTAAATATTTACAATTTAACTTTATAGAGTAGGCTACCATTGAAACAGGATAACCGAAATAAAATTGGTTTTGTGTCATTTCGGTGACGTGCAATAAAGTTAATGGAATTAATGTCACTGACATTAATACACAATTGAAAAGTGAATTAATGTCAGTGACATTAATACACAGGCCAAAAGCGAAATAATGTCAGCGGAATTGTGGAAATAATGTCATTGACATTAATTCACAATCGAAAAGTGAATTAATGTAAAAAATGTTAAAAAATCATGCAAGCTTTACGGTGACGTGTAATAAGGCGCATCGGAAATAACGTCCATGGACACTATTTCTTATCGTCCATAGGCAATAGCATTACCTTTTCGAAAGCGCATGGACATTATTGCTCTTTCAAAAAAATATTGACAAAATACACTTCTAACATACGGCATACATAGTATACAGCTTTAAAAGTGCATAACACCACGGCAATCCACATTCGCTCAGCGGGCTATTTTTACAACATTACATACTTCACTTTTAGACGGTGAATAAACTCCAAAGTGACTTAATATCAATTGACATTATTTCACTTTTGGCTTGTGTATTAATGTCACTGACATTAATTCACTTTTCAATTGTGTATTAACGTCAGTGACATTAATTTCATTGACCTTATTGCGCGTCACCGTCATTTCATGCGGGGCATTGCGTTTGGCATACACGCCGTATCCCTCTGGGAAAATAGGTAAGCACCTTACGAGGTAAGCCATGTTTTCTTTCAGTTTTTAGTACCAAAATTGTCATCATGACCAATGTCATCTACTAGTAAAGCGCAAAATGAAGTCCTCCGACGACACATTACGTTGTCAGTTGCAAAATAACGTACAGCCGAAGTTATTTCCAAGCACCGAACTACTCCGAGCTACTGCTCTGCATTACACGTAACTTAATTTGTAAAGCGGCTCAGAAGTATGTGTGATACCAAATGTACATTCTAAATTCCTACTTACATAAGGCGGCCACGTTTTTGTTAAAGTAAGGGAGATTCGTCAGTGACGTGGTAAGGACAGCCGGGTGAAGTGTAAGTTGCTGATAAGCTATGGAAATATAATAAGGCTTGGAAATAACTTCGGCTGCACGTTACTTTGCAACTGACAACGTAATGTGTCGTCGGAGGTGTTCATTTTGCGCTTTACTAGTCGATAACATTGGCCATGATGACAATTTTGGTACTAAAAACTGAAAGAAAACATGGCTTACTTCGTAAGGTGCTTACCTATTTTCCCAATGGGATGTGTAGTATATACATACATATGTATGTGGGTAATTTCCAAACAGAGTGTATATGTCAGGTATTTTTTTATGTTTATAATTATATTTATATTTATATTTATATTTATATTTATATTTATATTTATATTTATATTTATATTTATATTTATATTTATATTTATATTTATATTTATATTTATATTTATATTTATATTTATATTTATATTTATATTTATATTTATATTTATATTTATATTTATATTTATATTTATATTTATATTTATATTTATATTTATATTTATATTTATATTTATATTTATATT